GCAAACATCACAGTAATTTACTGCTCTTGTTTTACTGTTCACATTTCACAATTCACATTATAAAGTTGTCTTTAACTGTGCCACTGTGAGAAATTTAGATGTTTACTACTGTAATTGTTTTGAAGTGACCATAATGGTGATTGGTGATCCCGTTTGTTTGGGCTTTTTTGACCTTACATATTCATATTCAAATTTATGATCTCATTTGTTAAAATGATGCTAAACTAGAATATGAAATAAGCTGATTGCCTAACTTTAAGATAGTCAAACTATTCTTGGCATGAACATGAAGCTTTTATTTTAGCGTTATTTAAGCAAGAAGATTAATCAATATCTTATTTCATTTTCATAACATTTTGTGGATGGATCTTTCACAATAGTGAAGCAACTGCTGGGAAATGACATGCAAAACACAACAATGGTAACACTCAACAAATAAAACCAACACTTACAACATAAACCAACAACACAAACTGGGATCTCGTCCTTCCGCCGATTTGATGTTCGCTACTGTGATAAATATGAACGTAACTTTTTAACATGCAGGGGAAATTCCCAACTTTAAACAATTTACCATTTATGTGCCTACGAATAAATAACGTTGACACATTAGGTGATGTTTTTTCATTAAAATTGTACGATTTCCTCAATGGAATATTAATTCGATAGAATGCAAGAAGAATATAAGAGAATAGCAATATGGCGGCCTAGTGGACACCACGAGCAATCCAGTTCTGTTTTACTGTGTATATACTGTTTATTATCTTATAATGTGTTGCCAAGTATAAAACAATCATACTAGCTAAAAGAGGAATACTTCAACAATATTACCGCAGGACTACTATTAATAGAATGCTGCAGTCATGACAAAAGACTAATTTGCCATGGGTTCCTTTGAGGTTTTCCTATGGGTTTTTATAATGAGGGTTTTCAATTCATGAGTAAAACGAGGTCTGTGGTAAATATAAACTGATTAAATTTGAACATGTTGCTCTACTACGACGTAAATTACACACACCCATACTGGAAGTGCAAATTTTGAAGCAGTTGTGTTTACTTTTAAAAAACGTAAGTAAGAACGTACATAAGAACATTTGGGTTGCGAGTGTGTGCAGTTTAAGTTGTACTATGAAATGTCTGAATATTGTCTGTTTACCATATTTACTGTTAAAACATGATAAAAACCCATAGAAAAATCTCTAGAGAACCCATGGTGAATCAGTCTTCCGGGTTTTGGCGTCACGACTGCAAATGAGGTGCAAGATTGCTGCAGCTTCATTCGAAACAAGAGAGAGCGAGTCTGTGGTGTTATAAGAGAGACAAGAGAAAAGCGCTGACCTAAAATACCTGGATGAGCGGTCATTATACAGCATTGCTATTGACGATGGTCATTACCGAGGAATAACTGACCATTATTTTAAGCATGCCCACCCCGCCCCCCACAAAAAAAAAAAGATTGTTTCTTTTTGAATAAGTAATTTGTATTTGTTTATGTATTATGACGTTATATGAATCTTTTACTCTCACCGTAGGTACCTGAAGATTGTCCGGCCGTTGGAGACTCATGCTCTGCAGACGGTTCGTACCGCTCGACACATTTCCATAGGAACTTGGCTTTCCCTGTTAGCCATGTCTTCCATCTACTTGATCCTCTTCCTCCTGACCTCTTGGGGTAATGTTCACAAGCCTGAGAAAAGCGGCTGCGAGGCCTTACACAGTCCCCTGCTCAGTCTGGTCTACAAAGTCACTCACAGTGTGTCTATGGCGCTCTTCACTTTTGTGTTGGTGTCTCTGATTGCTTTGTACTGGGGGACTTTGCAAAAGATCAAACAAGCTCAGTTGTCCACACAGACCACATCCAGAAGCCATAAATTCAGGAAATCGAAGCGCAACATGCTGGTGCTCGTGGTGGTTTTTTGTGTATGCTTTGTGCCATACCATTTGGTTAGGCTGCCTTATGCATTCTTCAAACCTCAGACGAAACTCTGCACGGCGCAGGCGTTCTACGTCCTGAAGGAGCTGACTGTCCTGCTATCGGTGCTCAATGCCTGTCTGGATCCACTTATATACTTTATCTTCTGCAAAGCCTTCAGAGCTCAGCTAAGCCTCAGGAAGATGTCAGATTCTCCGAGAGACAGCGACGATAAAGGCCGGCAAAGAAGAATGAGCAACATGTTGAGTTACCTTGAGACAAAGATATCCACGTTACGACGTGAAAGTGTCATTTAATACAAAACTTCCCTGGAAGGATTTCAATTTGTCTTACTAACAACGAAAAAAACTGTGCGATGTAGATGACGGCTCATTAAATCTAACAGTGTAATACATTAATTAGGTTTATTCCTTTTTCTTGCACACCAGAAACTGGAATTGTGGATATGCTTTCATAAGTTATAGTGCAATATTATTAATATATGAATAAACAAAACAGAGAAAATATTGTTAATTGTCTGCCTATAGGCAAGCACAGAATCCGTCTATATTCTTAATACTGTGTGTATATACTGTTCAAAAGTTCGAAGTCAATGAACAAGGTTTTTTTTTTTTTTGAAAGAAATGTACTTTTAATCAGCAAAGATGCATTCAATTGATCAAATGTCACAGTAAAAACATTTATAATGTTACAGAATATTTGTTTCAAATAAATGCCGTTCATTTGAACTTTCTATTCAACAAACTTATGTGTGTATTAATGTGTGTGTGTGTATGTCTGTAAATATACACACATATATATATATACACACGTCTTGTCACAGTGCACACACACGAGGAACACGGGAACGAAGGAGCGAGGAGACACGGAGTAGAATAAATCAAAAGGGTTTTATTAACAAAGGCTGGGGATCACAGGACTCGACACATCAGGATGACGTTCAACGACTGACAAATGGACAAGAACTAGAACACTTTAAATGCACAGGAACTGATGAGGGAAAGACAAGGGACACCTGGAACTAATGACAATTAACATAGGAAACACCTGGGAACAATGAATTCAAAACACGAGACAGAGAAACTGGAAGACGGAGCACATAGGGAGCAAAGACACACACAAAACCTGGCCCAGAGTCTGACATTACTCCCCCCTCCCAGAAGGCGTGTCCTCACGCCACCAAAACATCCAATGGGGAGGGGGGGTGGGCGCTCTGGAGACCTCTAAGAGTAGGGTTACCAGACGGGAGGCCTCCAGAGCGGGGCACCATGGATCTGTCAGCTCTGGGCGCCAAGGCGGAAGAGGGACCACAGGAGGACATGGCGGACTAGGGAACACAGGAGGCCAAGGCGGAAGAGGGAACACAGGAGGCCATGGCGGAAGAGGGAACACAGGAGGCCATGGTGGGGTAGGGAACACAGGAGGCCATGGTGGGGTAGGGAACACAGGAGGCCATGGCGGGGTAGGGAACACAGGAGGCCATGGCGGGGTAGGGAACACAGGAGGCCATGGCGGGGTAGGGAACACAGGAGGCCATGGCGGGGTAGGGAACACAGGAGGCCAGTCTTCGGCGCGGCCAGCGGGCTGGAGATAGCCCCGGCTGACGGGCTTGACATCAGCCCGGTCAGCGGGCTGGAGAAAGCCCCGGCTGGCGGGCATGACAACGGCGCGGCCGGCACGCTTCACAGTTGGCGGATCTTCCATCCGTGGAGACAAACAGGGGAGAAAAAGGAAAACCAAAAGACTGTTCAAAAAATGAAAACAAAACACGGAAGAAGGAGTGCCGCTTACTGTTTAGGTCAGTCGTTCTGTCACGGTTCACACACACGAGGAACACGGGAACGAAGGAGCGAGGAGACACGGAGTAAAGTAACTCAAAAGGGTTTATTTAACAAAGGCTGGGGATCACAGGACTCGACACATCAGGATGACGTTCAACGACTGACAAAGGACAAGAACTAGAACACACTTTAAATACACAGGAACTGATGAGGGGAAGACAAGGGACACCTGGAACTAATGACAATTAACATTGGAAACACCTGGGAACAATGAATTCAAAACACGAGACAGAGAAAGACGGAGCACATAGGGAGCAAAGACACACACAAAACCTGGCCCAGAGTCTGACAACGTCTTAATATTACTGTAATTTTATATTGCTGCTTACTGATCAAATGATTGCAGCCTTGGTAAGCATAAGATTTCTTTAAAGAGAGAGAGGGAGAGAGAGAGAGAGAGAGAGAGAGAGAGAGAGAGAAGAAAGAAAGATGTGACATTTATTTTGGACATGTGTGTAGCTTGCTATAGCAAAAAATCCAGCATTTAAAATTAAAAATGTCATAATTATAAAATATTAAAGTTGCCTTTTTAGCTTAAACGTGTTTTATTGTTGTCCGTTTTAATGCTTTATTGCTGTTTTATTATGAGAAAAGGAACTGTGCATTAATTTCGTGAACTATGAAGCCTTGCTGGTAATTTGTCAAAAACACTAGTTAATTACAGTGGAAAAACACTTTGAAATGACTTCTCTCCTATTTAAATGTCTTGCCCTTTTACTGGAAGTACTGTATTTTGGAGATATTTTCTCTTAATACGGTAAACCTGAAGTGAACTGATTTGAAATACCTTAATGGTAGCATTACATGTTGTTGACAGTATATCTGGTTGAAGGCCAAACTGGTAATATTGTGCAAAACTGCATCTGAAAAACATCTATTACTGGATTCTCTGTCTGGTGGGTATGCATTGTGACTTTGTTACTAGGCTACAAACACTCAATTTGATGTTAAATGACACTAACAGTGCAACTTTTATGTCCAACACATCGAATGGAAAGTCAAAGCCCACCTTTTGTCTTTCAAACCAGGAACTTACAGCACAGAGAACGCATGCAAACGAGAGCCATAGACTAGTGGTTTGTGGTCGTCTACAGACACAGAATCTGGAACGTTCACGCTTCCGCTGCGTCATTGCACAACGTTGTAGGTGTGGTAAATGCTTTCCTCCATTGGCTGGTATAATTGAAACCAAACAAAACGGAAACTGGATTTGTAATGTAGTTGAGGCAGTGAAGAAACTCTCCGAACAAGTATCTCAGTAGCTGTTTGGATCGTTCAACAAGACAAATATACAGCTAGAGAGCAGAATCGTATTACTCCAGCGTCTCATGCTGGAGAAGCCAGTCTGGGCATGCGGTAAGTTATCAAAATCGAATTCTGATACGAGGCACCATTTCTTCCTGAGATTTTATGCATCTGATAATTTGTCTAAAATGTTAATTTGAGGACTGATTTTTGATGTCCTCATGTGTAATCAAAATAATGATTATGATATGTACATCCTAGAGAGACAGGAATGGGAAATTGCAAATAATGTGCATTATATTAATGAGCAATGTAGGATAACTGAATTTATTTTTTTTTTTTAAGTAAAATAGAACAGTTTAAAGTAAAATAAATTATTTAGTTCCACCTCTAGTTTATTGTCCAAGAATATCGACGAGTTTCCTTTTTCAGCTCATTAGATGACCACAATCTGACCCACTTCCCTAAAGAGCATATTCAAGGTTTTTCTCATCACCATTTGTAGAATATGCTAACAAAGACCTGTTTTTTTGTCAAAACAATACATAATCTTTGTAAATTCGAATTTAAACGATGAGTTCCGAGGAAAAGACCTTGAATAATTTATTCGTTCTGGTCTGCTTGGAGTCCGCCGGTCCACAAAATCCAAACAGATTGTATTGCAGCTGTGGGTTACGTTGAGAAAAATACAGAGTTATGTTTTTCATTTTCGTTTTTGTTCTGAAATGATAATGCTGTGGTCAGTGACTTGAGGAAGAAGACAAACTAAGCAATTTTATTTGATTTTGGTATTCAGGGGATAAATTGTGAGCTCTTGAGGGGTCTCTTTATTAGTGAACCAGATGTTGAAAAATGCACCAAAAAAATATTTAAATTATAGCTGATAGTTGTCATATTTATATCAAATGAAAAGCATAAAATTAATGATTTGTTATCACAAAACCCTGCTAAAATATTTAAAAAATATATACACTTTAAAAACTCTGGCTGACTGTATTATTACTGTGGAATGTGACAGGAGCATGATTTCATTTGCTACCTTTTTATTTGATTTTGCTGATTAATTTGACATGAATTTAATGTTTCCTGCAGCAGCTTCACTTGAGCTAGAAAAGTTAACGTACTTTAACATGCCTGCTTGTAACTTTGAATATTTGTAAGATTTCTTATGTGAATACACAGTTACAGATTATTTATTTATTTGTTTGTTTGTTTGTTTGTTTGTTTAAATGAAACAAAAATATATAAATTTAAACACTGCTTTTATGAACATTGAGTACAAGATGGTTTACTAGAAAGCAAGTTGACTGCCAGGTGGTATAAATTTATTGGTAGCACTTTACAATAAGATGCCATTCGTTAATGCATTAACTAACATTAGTTATCAATCAGGAGTACATTAGTTAGGCCTACAGTATTTATTCATTAATTTCATTTTAATATTATAATCACTTTATTCATTTATTCACCTTAGTTATTCATTAAAGTTGATTTAATGAAAATACAACTTTTCGTTGTCAGTTCATGTTAGCTCAAGTCCATTAAATAATATGAACAGATATATATTTATAACTTCTCATTTAATAATGTATTTAACAATTAACATTAACTAAGATTTAAAAAATGCTTTAGATTTTTTTAGTTCTGTGTAATTTTTAATTGCTATTCTATGCGTAAATACTAATGTAATTAATTAATGTTAATAAACAGAACCTTATTATAAAGTGTTACCAACTTATCTATTACGAGGACATTAATATTAAAGGACTAAACTAAACATGCTGTGAGCATGCTGCGAAAATATCAAGAAATAAGTATGCTTAATTTAATTTAATATAATTGATTTATTTTTCCTTTCTGTCTCTTTCCAGGATTGCGACATACCATTTTCTGTTTGATGCTGATTCGTGACATCATATCCTTGTGCAAGCAAACAGGAAAATGCTTTTGCGTGCTTAAACAGGGGATTTACCACTTCCTCCTCTGATACCTTGTACTTTCCGGTGAAGCGAAAGGCAGAACTGTGTTCAGATCAGCTTTGATTATTCTCCGTGGTCTGACAAGACCTAAAAGGAGAACTAAAACGTACTTATTCGATAGTCTTGGTTTGACTTATTTAGGCCTAGTTTAAAGTTTACACAGTCCAGATCCAAAAAAATGGGGAGTACAAATGCCAGTGTCTGTGTGGTCAACGACAACATGGTGCCCTTCGCCACAGTCTACATCCTCATCTTCCTGATTGGAATGGCTGCCAGCCTGGTGGCGCTGTGGGCTTTCATAACCAGCCGAAGTGCTAAAAAGTGCATTAATGTTTACCTCATCAATCTTCTGACGTCCGACTTCCTCCTCATGTTGGCGTTACCTGTCAAGATTGCCAAAGATCTGGGCAACGATTCTAAGAGTTTGATCATCTTTCACTGCCAAGTGAGTGCGCCGCTCATCTACATCAACATGTACGCGTCTATCATCTTTCTAGCTTTCGTTAGCGTGCAGCGCTACCTCCAGATCACCCGCAGCTCCAAACTGCTGCGACTGCAGGAAGTGGGCTTTGCGGTGCTCATGTCTTCGGTGGTCTGGTTCCTCGTGCTCTTCATCAACGTGCCCAACATGGCCATTCCTATCAAAGAAAACATTGAAGACAAAGTTGGGCTAACATGTTCGGATTTAAAAGAGGATTTGGGCAAGCACTGGCACGCTTTGTCTGTGTTTCTGGGCATGGCCATCTTCTTCAACTCCTCGGTAGCGGTGCTGTTGTCCAACGGCCTGGTGCTGAAGCGGCTCTGGGGTCGGCGTGAATCTGACCCCGAGGAACAGGCTAGTGCCCAACATGCCTTCATAAATATCGCATTGGTGACCTTGGCATACGTGGTGTGCTTCGTGCCATACCACATTGTGCGTATGCCGTACACTTTTACTCAGATAAAGGTCATCACCGAATGCACATTAAGGAAAAGTCTCTTCCTGGCTAAAGAGTCGACTCTGCTTCTCGTCATCCTGCACCTGTGCTTTGACCCAGTGCTGTACTTTGTCATCTGCCGTGCATTCAGGAATCAGATCACGAAGGCCTTCTCAAAGAGAGGCAGCGTTCCAACCGCAGACACATAGTGAAAATTCACTTGGAGGAGAGTTATGGACCAAGTACCAGTGCAAAGTCATTTGCTGAATGTCAATGTAGGGTCAAGAAAGAGAGAAACTGGGGATCGGTAATGTAGGAAAAGCAATAAATTCAGCAAAGCAGAAGACTGAAATCTGTGGAGAAGGATCTTTTGCCAAAAATGGCCCAAAATGTCAGCTGAAATTCTAGTTCATAAACATTTTGGAGCAAAATATGTACATATGTAAACATAATCCTTCTAATATGTGACCCTGGACCACAAAACCAGTCATAAGGGTCAATTTTTCGAAATTGAGATTTATACATCAGCTGAAAGCTGAATATATAAGCTTTCCATTGATGTATGGTTTGTTAGGATAGGACAATATTTGGCCGAGATACAACTATTTGAAAATCTGGAATCTGAGGGTGCAAAAAAATCAAAATATCGAGAAAATCATCTTTAAAGTTGTCCAAATTAAGTTCTTAGCAATGCATATTACTAATCAAAAATTAAGTTTTAATATATTTACAGTAGGACATTTACAAAATATCTCCATGGAACATGATCTTTACTTAATATCCTAATGATTTTTGGCATAAAAGAAAAATCAATAATTTTGACCCATACAATGTATTGTTGGCTATTGCTACAAATATACCCCAGAGACTTAAGACTGCTTTTGTGCTCCAGGCTCGCATATGACTAAATCTACAGAAGATGGACTTTACAACGATGCTCAGAGGAAGAGCCAGGACTCCATCACCCCAAGGACAACCGCACCTCAAACATGAATTTAGTATGATCTTAGTGTTATTTACTGAACATTCAATGGGAGATTATTTGTATAATTTGTATTCCATATCCCAAATAAAAAGTGTGTTTCTCAAATTGTAAGTAAGGGTTGATTATAAAGAGCTTTTTTTTTATTATTTAATTACTTTATTTTAAATAAATAACATTTTAAATACATTTAAGTTTTAATAAATGTAACACATTATTTCTCTCTCTTGGGTCTTCCTTATCTCTTTTTGATTAATGACCTTTTTAGTTGCATTGTTAGGTCATTTTTCCCAGAAATGACTGAAAGAAAGGTGTGAGTCATGTCTCTGATGACATGACTGTGTGTCAGAAAAGCCTTGTGTAGGCTGAGCTGTGGCTTGGGATATCCATTCATATTCATATATTTAGCTAGCCATAAATCCTCCATCACATCACACATAATAAACTCTGTATTTAAAGTTCACTTGTGGCTTTATTAAATGCAGCCAGAGATGTTGCTCTAATAACCAATCCGATGTAAGGTCACATCTTGCCTGATCACTGGTGCGAGACGGTCAGCCCGGTTGCTCGGAGACGGCGCTCAGTGAACGCTCTTGGCGTAACTCTATCCAGAGAAGACATTGGGATGTGCTATCTAGCATTTGAGATCGTTTTATAGCATTCAGGAGGGGAAATCGACAGCAGCACAATGTCCTTTTCCGTGTTGGAATACAGGAATGTCGCCGTTACGCGTAATCGAGTGGATATCCATTGATTACTGTGGCTGTACTCGTCGCCAAACATCATGCCTAGCCGTCAAAAGAAAATTATATTCTCTGTTTCTGGCGTGCTTTGCTTTGGTTGTGTTCTGGTCGTGGCTGCCGCGATGGGGACGCAGTTTTGGGTTCAAGCTGCCGTTCTGTGCAAGACGGGCGCGCAGATCGTCAACGCGTCCGGAGCAGAGCTGGAGAAATTCATCGGAAGGACGCACTACGGACTTTTCCAGGGCCAGGGGATGAAACAGTGTGGTCTGGGAGACAGACCCTTTTATTTCTCTTGTGAGTAACTTAATCATCTAGATAGTTCACCCACAAATAAAAATAAAAAGATTGTCATCATTTACTCACCCGAATGTTGTTCCAAACATGTATGAGTTTCTTTCTTCTACTGAACGCAAAAGAAGATATTTTGAAGAATGTTGGTAACCAAACAATTTCTGGTCCCCATTGACTACTATAGTAGTATTCATTCATTCATTCATTCATTCATTCCTGACACTATGGAAGTCAGTGTGGACCAACAACTGTTTGGTTGGTCACAATTTAATTTGAGGACCAATTCTCACTGTTGACTAACTATTAACTAACCTAATTAGCTGCTTATTAATAGTTAGTAAGGTTATTGTTAAGTTTAGGTATGGGGTTTAAGGATTTATGGATCTAAAATTTGCTCATGCAGAATAAAGCATTAATATGTGCTTTATAAATACTAATAAACAACAAATATGCTAGTAATATGCATGCTAATAAGGAACTAGTTACTAGTGAGAATTGGTCCCTAAACTAAAGAGTTATCATTTGGTTACCCGAATTCTTCAAATTATTTTCATTTGTGTTCAACAGACCAAAGAAGCTCATACAAGTTTGGTGCAACTTGATGCTGAGTAAATGATGACAGAATTTTTTTTTTTTTTTTTTTTTTGTAAACTATCAGTTTAAAGATTTTTGCTTTTAAACCCATGAAATCACCATTGTGCCTTGAACAAAACAATTAATGATAACACTTCACTTATTTACTAATGCATTATAAAGGTATTCATAAATGTATGTTTGTAATGCATTATATTTTTTCAGAAATAATTGTAACCTAAGGTAAAATACATTACATTACTTGAAAGTCTGTCATGTGTTTTAATGCATTATATTATAATAGATATAACAATTATTCACGAGATCATTTAATGCATTATAAGGCATAATTAATGCATTAAAACTACTTTTATAACACACGTTTTAAGTAAAGTGTTACCCAAATTAACCCCTTCACTCCCTTGAACTCCGTTACAAGGGTCTGATCCTCTAAAATGTGCTGTTGCTTTGGCCAAAACTGTGAGATAAATGACTGCCAAAGAAACACGTCTGACACAGGTAACAGACTCTGAAGTCAAGTGAAGCCATCTGGATGACAGTAGGGGAAAAGGGTGAAGATTTATAGTCCAGTGTAGGGTCAAATGCCACAGCAAACAGGGGCTAACAAGCTTGGGCAAGCAGAAGCATAGCAATTGACCTGTGTAGCTAATGGGAGTGATCATTTAGCGTGGGAATGACAGATCAGTGTTTCCTCAACCATGACTGCGGAAACAACTGGAAATAAATAATAAGGCCTGAATGCCAGCCGTCACCTAGCAACACAACACACAAGACAAATAAAACGATAACCTTAGCGGAGGAAGATTTTCCAGATGAACAGAGAGCATCAATCTCCTAACAAATATAACAGTTCATGCCAACACAGAGTGGCGTGCTACTCATGTTCAAATAGTAAAAAAAAAAAAATATATATATATATATATATATATATTATTATAGTACTACTATAATATAAAATACTATAGTATTCCACACACCAAAACTAACTAACTAACTAACTAACCAAACAAACAAATAAAAAAGTAAATAAATAAAATAAAAATAAAAATACAGGTTTAGAACAAGTTGAGGGTGAATAAAAAAATGACGGAATTTTCATTTTTGGGTGAAATAGAAATACAAGTAAAACACACCAGAGATATAAATAGTACTTCAGGGTTTTATTATTTAAACCACACAGCAATGCAATGTAAGAAAATGGTCATACTGTTGCACATGTGCACATACAGCGCCTCTAAATGTATTTGGACACTTAAGCACTTAAATTGTGTTGTTGCATTACATTAAACAATAAGCATAACAATTAACAAATGTGTGTTCAACCATAAAACAATAGATATGCTGTACAAAATGATGAAAGTATTGTGATCTTTGTGGTCGCAAATAGTGGAACCTGTTAGTTAATGAACTGAACTTCACCTGTCTGAACTTGAAGGGAAGTGACTTCAAATCCCTGTGACAGCAATTGGTTAAAGGACACCGCAAAAATGGCTCCGAAAAGTGAAGTTGGTGATCAGGAAAGCTCTTGCATCATTTCTTTGCAGGTGTCACGTGTGCTTTCTGATTTTGTATCTAATGCAGTGACTTTTTAAATAATGATCCTTAATGTTATTATATGGCATCAGAGGGTTTGGTATATAGGCCTAGTGCGTGAGTCATATGGACTACTTTCATATTTTTATACTGCTTTTGCATCCTTTATGAAGCCTTAAAGCTTTTGTAAATGCTTGGAAAAGATCAAGCGATATATTAGTCAAAGTTTCTTCTTTGTGTTCTATGAAAGAAAGAAAGATATGCATGTTTGGAATGACATGAGGGTGAGTAAATGATGACAGAATTTTCAATTCAATTCTCTTTAAAGGTTCAAATACATTTTGAGGCCACTGATGTGTAACAAACCTATTTCAAATTATTGTATATAAAAAAATGACTTTCATGAACATCCCATTTTTTATTCATCATCAGTCTAATGCTTTGGAAAATTGTTCCTACATCTTTTATGCATAGCATGTAAATCCCCTTCAAACTACTTCTATAGAATACATAGATTTAAAAGAGTCTAAGGGGCTGTTTCAAGGGGTGAATAAAAAAATGACGGAATTTTCATTTTTGGGTGAAATAGAAATACAAGTAAAACACACCAGAGATATAAATAGTACTTCAGGGTTTTATTATTTAAACCACACAGCAATGCAATGTAAGAAAATGGTCATACTGTTGCACATGTGCACATACAGCGCCTCTAAATGTATTTGGACACTTAAGCACTTAAATTGTGTTGTTGCATTACATTAAACAATAAGCATAACAATTAACAAATGTGTGTTCAACCATAAAACAATAGATATGCTGTACAAAATGATGAAAGTATTGTGATCTTTGTGGTCGCAAATAGTGGAACCTGTTAGTTAATGAACTGAACTTCACCTGTCTGAACTTGAAGGGAAGTGACTTCAAATCCCTGTGACAGCAATTGGTTAAAGGACACCGCAAAAATGGCTCCGAAAAGTGAAGTTGGTGATCAGGAAAGCTCTTGCATCATTTCTTTGCAGGTGTCACGTGTGCTTTCTGATTTTGTATCTAATGCAGTGACTTTTTAAATAATGATCCTTAATGTTATTATATGGCATCAGAGGGTTTGGTATATAGGCCTAGTGCGTGAGTCATATGGACTACTTTCATATTTTTATACTGCTTTTGCATCCTTTATGAAGCCTTAAAGCTTTTGTAAATGCTTGGAAAAGATCAAGCGATATATTAGTCAAAGTTTCTTCTTTGTGTTCTATGAAAGAAAGAAAGATATGCATGTTTGGAATGACATGAGGGTGAGTAAATGATGACAGAATTTTCAATTCAATTCTCTTTAAAGGTTCAAATACATTTTGAGGCCACTGATGTGTAACAAACCTATTTCAAATTATTGTATATAAAAAATGACTTTCATGAACATCCCATTTTTTATTCATCATCAGTCTAATGCTTTGGAAAATTGTTCCTACATCTTTTATGCATAGCATGTAAATCCCCTTCAAACTACTTCTATAGAATACATAGATTTAAAAGAGTCTAAGGGGCTGTTTCAAGAGACATCTGATTCATTGTTCAGTTTATCAGATTTTAGTTTTTCACTTGAGTTTTGGGAGGGACTCGTCTCATTGATGGGGTTTTGAATGGGGCTCAGATGGATCTTCTGTGACAGCTTCATGTACAATGATTCATTCTTTCCTAATGAGATTTGGAAAAGCCCCAGATTCGAGAGCCAGACTTTTAGCAGAACAAAAGAATATTGTCATTGTAATTTTTTATTTTTTGTTACTCACAGGAAGAAGCAAGCAAATTGTGGGCGAAAATGATCAGAGATTACTTTTAATGAGTGAAATCATTTTTCATATATACTGTACTCAGATCTTATCCTCAAAATTATTCGGCGATAATAGTCAGAGTCAAAATGAAACAATAGCTAGTCACTCGCAATAGCTTGAAGACATTGATGACAAATTAAAAACTGAGTCCCAGTACATTTTCCTCACATATGGATGAGAATAATTCAAATCCTCACTCATTCTAAGTTTAAACTCAAATGATGGAGCTCATGTTCGACATCTTTTTGTTCTGTGTAGTTTTCCCTGACCTGATGGACGTGGTCCCAGCCAGTCTGCATGTGAGCGTGATCTTCTTCTGCGCAGTGCTCATCGTCTTCTCCACAGTGTCCTGTGCCTTCTTCTTTTACAATGCTTTCGGAAGCCCATATGAGACACTGCATGGACCCCAGGGCCTTTACCTCTGGAACATGATAAGCTGTAAGACTTTGCTCAGATACACACACACACACACGCACACACACGCAGAGACGTTTGGACACAGTCACACCTGATGTACCTACAATGATCACTAATCACTAAACTTTGTTCACTCGGAAATTTGCAGTAAATTTTAGATATAATTACAGAAAAAAGTAACATTATATTGTCTTTGTCCCATGTATTTTATTATATTAATTATACTTTATTTACTTTATTATATTAATTAAAACATTATTTTTTAGAGTGTGTTCTTTATTACTACTATTATTGAACTCATCAAATTATTATCAAACCAATCAAAAATGATTCTCACTTAGGACATTATTTAAACCAACTTCATAAAGTACATTTTGGGGTACTTTGTAAACAGTAATAAAAATTACCATATGCATACTGTATGCCAAATTTCCTTAACTACACTGTAAAAATTATTTTTCAAAGATGTAAATAAAACAAATCAAAGATATAAATAGAAAGTTCAAAAGAACAGCAGTTATTCAAAATTCTGAATAAAAGTATTAATTTCTGTAGTAAAATCAAAGATGTGTTTTAAAAGAAAACACCATTTCAGTCTTCTGACTTCAAAATGTAATGTTTAATTCAACGTGATACTTGCTGTTTCTCTGTCATTATTTGTGAAATTCACTGGCAATTTCTGAGCAAAAAATGTATTGAATGTAAATGTTTTCAGTGTATCCAATCCAAATCATTCATTAAAAAAATGAAATTAAATAACAATAATGATAATAATAATAATAATAATAATAATAGTAATTTAGTAAACAAAATAGCTTGGTAAATATAATAAAATTAAAAAATTCAGAAGTTCATAAACATATATATTACAAAACAATACAAAACTAATTTCACAAATAAAAATAATAATTTGTAATATTATGTAATATTATGTTAATGTAAAGCTTTTACCAGGTCAATAGCAGCTTGAATTCTTGAATCATGATAGAAACTCCAGATCGTGAACATCTATTCAGACAGGGTCTTTACTGAAGCACAGTAAAAACGAGCCTCTGCGATTGTTAATAACTCTCTGTTAGTAGTGAGAAAGTGATCTCAGCTGTCCTGAAAAAAAAGAAAGAATTACATGATAAATAAATAAAGTGATGGAAATGAATGTGCTTGGTGGAACTGGCCAGATTTCCACTCCATCTCTAGTGTCAGTTCCCTCTGTTGTGTGTGTACTGATGGCACTCTAATAGGCCATTTGACCGAGATGGTCCTCACTGCAGAACACAAGATCCAGGGGGCGAGGTTGGATCCAGATCCAACTCCTCCCACCTTACATATACCTAAACCTACCCGTCTCCACCCCCTGATCCCTAAACCCACCCATCTCCACCCCCTAGATGTGGATCCAACCCCGCCCCCTGGATCTTTGTTCTGCAGTGAGGGGCTACTGATTTGACCTGTCAAAGTCAAAAGTAAAAAAAAAATAAAGCAGGATCGCTTGCAGATAATGGAAAGTTGTTGTTAGACTCAACACACATCTGTTACTGTATCATGAATTTAAGCTTGGCTGGAACACTGTACTGACCAAACAGCAGCCAGTACTGGAGCAACCTATGCTATGAGTGGAAGTCTATTTGGTTTTCTGTGAAATCTTGTTTAAAACAAACAAACAAATACCTTTAAATATGTTTCTCGTTTAAACAAAAACATATCTGGAGAACCCTAAATGCTTTTTTCAAGTGTCTTTTAATTTTTACTGTGAGTAATCCAAGGCTGTCAAATAGTCCCATGCCAGTGGGATAACAACATCTGATTTCCTACATTTCTAGAAAGTGCTCTATGAATAAAACTCAAAAAAAAAAAAAAAGTGCTGTGAAGGTAAATTACACAAAGTCATTTCTTTTCATATCTGTCATATTATTTAAGTTCCTCCTTTGTCTAAAACGCAGTGTATTGTCTAACACAAAAGTTATGACTGTATGTTCACATAAACTGGTAGTGGTCTGCACTTCACTACAATACATTCTCCCTGCGCTGCAGTGTGTTGCGCAGCTTTGCCACACAGATTTTGATAGTTAGCTATAATAGATCAGGCGGTGTGCCAAAGGACCAAAGGCTCTGCCTCGGTATGGTTTGTGTCAAGCCATTCATTAATCTGGCTGTTTGATGAAGAGAAAGAGATAAAATGTAGTAAAAATAAACACTTTAAGAATCCATAGAAGAGGAGGACTCTTATTATGTTTTTTAGGACTATTATTATGTTGTAATGTTTGGTTGACCAATCAGCGGAGAGGGGCGTTTCATTCCCGCCCACATGTAGAGATCGAATATTCAAGTTGCTTATTCGTTTTCTATCCCTGAATGTAAAAACGAAAAATGAAGCCGGATTCTTGATTTTTCGTTTTGTTTGAACAATTGAAAAACGAAATATGTGCCGTTTTTCATTTTTGATTTTTCAGATTTCAATATTAAATTAAAAAACGAATGATTGGAAGATACCCTGATTCTGAAGTTTGGGGTTGTTAGGATTTTTTTGTGTTTTTGAAATAAGTCTCTCATGGGAGCATTTATGTGATCAAAAATAGTCAAAACAGTAATAGTGAAATATTATTACAATTTCAAATACCTGTTTTTTTTTTTATTTTAATATATTTTCAAATTCAATTAATTCATGTAATGCAAAGCTGAATTTTCAGCATCATTACAATATGCCGGTTTGCTGCTCAAGAAACATTTCCGATTATTATTATCAATGCTGAAAACAGTTGTGCTTTTTTTTTTCTTCTTGGAAACTGTGATACATTTTATTTCAGGATCAAAAAGATTAATAGAAAGTTCAAAAGAACAGCATTTTTTCAAAATAAAAAAAACAAACATTTTTTACACAATGTAAGACTTTAATGTCACTTTTGATCAATTTAATGAATTCTTACTGAATAAAAGTATTGATTTGTGTCTTAAAAAGTATATTCACTTTTGAACAGTAGTGTACATATATTTTCTTTTTAAAAAAAAGAAAAGAAAAAAAAAACATCGTTTTTGCCACTGGCCAAAATTGTCAAATATGAATAAATTAAAAGGATATTTCAACTGAAAAAAAAAATCATAATTTACTCACCCTGTGTTTTGCAAACCTGATTTGTTTACCTCCATGGAGCATAATAGGAGATGTTCGGTCAAATATCTTGGCTGCTCTCTTCCATACAATGAAAGCGGATGGTGATTTCGTTTTTAAAGCTCTAAAAAGGCAATAATATACCATAAAGGTGTGGTAACTTTATCAAAACTGACAGAAGTCACTTTCAGTACAAGCAGCTTTTCTTTGGTCAGCTTGAAGCCATGGTGAAACCTGCATGGGGAAATCCTTCACCTTCATGCAAAAAAAGTTCCTGATCGCATGAATTCCTCTTGAAATGAATAGATCTCGCTCACAAAAATTCACCAAACAGCGGTACATGTGACCGCACCTTAAAGGGGTCATATGATGCGATTTTAAGTTTTCCTTTCTCTTTGGAGTGTTACAAGCTGTTCATGAATAGATAAGATCCCTAAAGTTGCAAAGACTAAAGTCTTAAACCCAAAGAGATATTCTTTATCAAAGTTAAGATTCGTCCACGCCCTCCTAAAACGGCTCGTTCTAACACGCCCCCACATATCTACGTCACTGTGTGGGAAGATTTGCACAACGCCGCCCAAATGTTCACGCAAAGAAAGAAGGCGTAACTTTTATTCTTGCTGTAGTATTGTTGCTGCCGCCGTCATGTCGTGAAGATGCTGTGTGTTTTTTTGTGAAAGCGAAACTACTTTGTTTGGTCTTCCAAAAGAGGACACGACTAGAAATCAGTGGTTAAGTTGTATTTACAACACAGTTCCAGAACAGTTCAACCCAAATATTCAGATGTGTGCAGCACATTTTATGGAGGACTGTTTCTGATGAACCTGGGAGAGTAGCCTACAATGCCGGTGTTCCGGTGAATTCAGTTCCCCTGTTTCCCCTGTTTCCCCTTCGGCGCGCATGCTGACCAGAGTATGTTTCATTCATACTCGAAGCCGGAGGGCGCTCTCGCGCAGAAAGTCGTACGAGGAAATTCCTAATATGGACAAAAGCGTCCAGCTATCGCTGTACGAAAACAGTTGTTTTCAGAAAAACAGAAAGACATTAAACATTTAATGAAGACATTAAACATACGATTGCGACAATATGGTTTATTTGTG